GAGCGAGGCGGCCGCGGTCGGCCCTGTGGGGATTGTAGTCCCGGCCCCGCCGCCCCCTGGCGCCAACCCCTCCCCTGGAACTACGGTCCCGTCGTGCCCCGCGGCGCCTGGCGGAGGCGGAGCGGGCGGGCCAGTTGCTAACGCTTGGAGAAGCTCAGCGCTAGCGTCCGTCTCCTTAGGTAAGCGCGCGGCCTCCGGGTCTCGGCTGCCGTGTCCCAGGCTCCCGCGGAGGTGGGGCGAGGGCGGCCGCGGGGGGACTTGGCTTAGGGGAGGATGCCCGCCGCGCTGGGGCGAGGGAGCAACCGTGCGGGGCTCGCGCGCGTCTCCGTCCCGGGCGGACCCGGGAGCGTCGCGTCTGCGCGTGCGCACAGGACAACCCGGCTCCTTGTGCCCCACTCCCTTCTGCGCTTGCGTGCGCCCCTGAAGCGTGGCGACCAGACCCCGCGTGTCCAGCTGTTTCCGGCGCGCCCCGCCCTCGAATCCTCTCGGCCTACACCTGCCTCTGGGCTGCGGGTTGACCAGCCTTTTGCACTCTTTAGGCGAAGGTCCCTAATCTTGACATACATCCTAAACATGGATGGTCCTTCCTGCTGCTTATAGGGAGTGTGGGTTTTCAAGGCCTTTTCTTACCACGGCGGCCGCGGGATAAGAGGTCTCTCCCAAACCCCACAAGCCCAAAGTTCTCCAACTTTTATTGCACAGAAGGCCCACTTGTAGGGTGCCAGGTCTAGCAAACATTCAGGACGCCTCATGAAATTCTAATTTCACAATAACTTTTTTTTTGTCCCAGAGATTGCATGGGACACACTTATACTAAAACACACACACACACACACACACAAAAAAACTCTACTCATCTAGAATTTGAATTTAATGGTATCCTGTGTGTTATCTGGCGACTGCACCCCATTGGTGTGTTTGTTAGAAATGCAGGTTTTGGCTCTCTCCTCTTTGAAGACCCAGGACTTAGAAACTGTGGGTGCCTCTGAGGCTCCAGCACTGGCTGTTCCTCCAGCCCAGGTCTCCCTACCCTTGCTGCCTGGCTTCCAGGCCCTGCTCTGAAGAGCCCCCTGCTGCCACAGATAGGGCACAGGGCCCTAGAGTGGCTGTGGGATTGTTTATCAGGACAGTTCTCGTGGCCTCGCTCACGTTCTGCCCCTGTCCCCCTGCGTGGTGGTGGTGGATTCCCATTTCACAGAGGGGAAAGCTGCAATGGAGGTCAGTCAGGCAATCTGGTCAGGACACAGCCAGGTGCCGGCTCTGGCCTTCCTAATCGGAGGTGAAAAGAAGGCCTCTTATTTGAGATTTACATTGTCACCCGCAGAGCCTGACTCAGCTCCCTGAATGAGCACCATTTGCCAAGTCCCTCCCTAAAGCCAGAGTCCACTCATCCTGGGACCCCAGGGCCAGGGCCCTCCTCTCCCCACAGCAGGCCCCTGCCCAGAGTTCCCAGCAGTTCCAGCACACACCTGTTTTCCAGTGTGGTGCCTTGGGGCAGCAGGTAGTCTTAAGCTGCTGAGGGGCCTTGCAATTAGGGATCCATCTCCCTGGTCCACTAGACCCTCCAGGATCTGCCAGTGCAGTTGAGCGCTTCTGGCCCTGGACAGTTGGCACCCAGGGCAGAGGCACCATAAATGTGACCAGGTTGCCTGCCTCCCCCTGGAGACCAGAGCACAGATGTTACTAGGAGGCAGCTACAGCTGCAGGCAGAGGGAATGGACGCACCCAGGGAAGGGACTGGGCAGGACCTCGTGGGGGTGGGTTGTAGGGGTAGTCGGGTGCCGTACTTAAGATCCCTGGGTGTGTTTAAGCAAAAAATGTGCAGTTTCTGTTTGTAGGTGGACTGGCATTCCCTGCGGGGCTTTTGGGATGGGGGCTCCGGTTCTCTCTGTGGAACCTGTTTATTTCTCGTCTGTAGAATGGGCTCTGGACCTCTGCCTTACAGAGGGACTCGAAAAGCAGTCGGTGAGCTGGTGAGCAGCAGCTATGTGCCCTGGTCAAGAGTCTCACTCAGGGCGCCTGGCCTTGTCCTGCAGAAAGGGGACAGCCCCACACCTCCCTGCCAGTTTGCGGAGGAGTAGGGAGCCCATTGGGGAAAGCGTGAGGACATGGACATGGTGTTGTGTAACGGCCACTGTCTTCCGACGTGCTGGGCCTTGTCTGGGGCCTGCTGACCTAGTGACTTGCCCGGTATCCTTTCCTCTCCCCATTATCTTTCATAGCCGTTTTATTGAGATACAGTACACATGCCGTGTAGTTCACTCATTGAAAGCGTGCATTTTTAGTGGTTTTTAGTATAGTCACAGGGTGTGGAAATGTCATCACTATCTAACTCCAGACAATTCCATCACCCCAAAAAGAAACCTGTCCGCATCAGCCGTCACCCCCAACTACCTCCCCCGGTCCCTGGTAATCAGGCATCTACTTCCTGTCTCTGTGGATTTGTTTGTTCTGAACATTTTACATAAATGGAACCACACACTGTGTGGCCTTTTGTGTCTGGCTTCTCTCAAGAGCATCATGTGTTCAAGGTTCTTTTGCCCTGCGATACGTGTCAGTGCCTCATTCCTTTTCATGGCTGCGTAATATTCTAGTGTATTCACGGACTACATTGTGTTTATCATCTGTGGGTGAACACCCATTGCTTCCACCTTTTGTCTGTTGTGAATCCTGCTGCTGTGAACACGTGTGTACAGGTTTCTGTGTGGAAGAGGGTTTTTAGTCTTTTTGGGCACATGCCTAAGAGTGGAGGGAAGTTGCTGGGTCAAATGGTGATCATCCTGTGATATTTATACGCCCTCTTTGGGGCCCAGCCAGATGTGTCCCGAAGGCAGCCTCCATTATTTGTCTTTTGAGTCACATGCAGCTCTTTGGCCCCTTGAGTGTGGCTCTTCCACAAAATACCATGTGCAGCCAAATTGGTTTGGCTCAGTGGATAGAGCGTCGGCCTGTGGACTGAAAGGTCCCGGGTTCGATTCCAGTCAAGGGCATGTGTACCTTAGTTGTGGGCACATCCCCAGTAGGGGGTGTACAAGAGGCAGCTGATCGATGATTCTCTCTCATCGACATTTCTAACTCTCTATTGCTCTCTCTTCCTCTCTGTAAAAAAATCAATAAAATATATAAAAAACAAACAAACAAACAACAACAAAAAAAAAACAAAATACCCCGTGCAGACGTGCACGTACAGTGCGATTGAAACTTGGAGGCCCATGCGCAGTTGGTTTGGCCTGGGCGAGTCCATTTTGAAGAAGTGGTTCTAACGCCGAGCCACACTCTAGGGGCCAAAGAGCCACATGTGGTTTGCAAGCCGCAGTTTGCCGACCACTGTGTTAGACAGAGGTTGCACTTTTAGAAGGTCAAGTCAGACTGTGTTTCCGTACAGACAGAGAACTTTTGTGGTCCAGGGAAGGCCGTGTGGGGCATGGGATCCTGGGCATGGTGTGTGCTCGGAGCAGATTTCAGAGTTGGCATTCTGGACTCTCCTGTGGGCGCTGCCCAGCACAGGCATTGTGGGCACATGAGGGTACCCTTCATGATTCCACTTTTTATGGCTGCCACTGGCATCCTAATTCAGTATGTTGTGAGCCAGGGACACTCTTGATGGGCCAGGACCTTACGTGCCCTTTGAAAGGCCTGGTTGATAAATAAATGAGGGCACATGGAGCTTAGGAGTAAGCCCCGGGGCATGTCAAGGGCAGTAAAAGCCTGGGGGAACCCTTTCACGTCCCTCGTGGTTCAGGGTTCCGGTTCTGGGGAAGGGCTGCACACAAATGAAAGAGACTAGAGGAAACTTAATTTGATGGTATGGGGGGCCTGGCGGGAGCCCACCTCTAGTGGGAGGACTGTCGCTCGGCTCTGGCTTGCTGTCCCTTTTATTGAGACTATGGGATACACCCATGACCCTTGAGCAGGTTTGGGATACACCCATAGCCCTTAGTCAGGTAATAAGCAGATTATCATATCAGTAAGGATTTTTATGATTATTTGATGGGGAAGTTGCCCCAGTTACCATTGTCTCAATTTGATAGGGAGTGGTTGGCTCTGACCTTTCAGAGCTTCAAGGTTGACCAGCCTTTTACATCTTTCTATTAGCGAGACAGTGATCGGTTTCCTGCAAAAGCCCACTGTTGTAAAATGATTTCAACACTCTCTTGTCCGCAGGGAAGAGGAAGGAAGGGCTGGTCTACTCCAAGTGCCCAGCTGGGCAGTGTGTGCTGGCCAGGCGGCTGCATCCTAGCTCCTGAATCCAATTGAGGTTTTCTGTGACTTATCTCTAACATTCTCCAAGGCAGCCCAGACCAATAGGAATAAGAGGCACATACATAATGTTAAGTTTTTTAGAAACCACATTTTTAGAAAGTACAAAGTAATGGGTGCAGTTAATTTTAATAATGTTTAATTAATCTAAAACATGTAGTGTCGTCACTTCAGCACATAGTCAATATAAAAACAATTAATGAGATAGTTTATGTTCTTGTCTTCGTATTACGTTTCCAAGATCCAGTGTGCATTTTTGCTCACAGCACATCTCAAAAAGAAAAGGAAAAAAAAAAGTCAATGGCGGTTTAAACTTTGCAAATCAAGAGTAAATCAAGTCGAAACCGGTTTGGCTCAGTGGTAGAGCGTTGGTCTGCGGACTGAAAGGTCCAAGGTTCGATTCCGGTCAAGGGCATGTACCTTGGTTGCGGGCACATCCCCGGTAGGCAGCTGATTGATGTTTTTCTCTCATCGACATTTCTAGCTCTCTATCCTTCTCTCCTCCTCTCTGTAAAAAATCAATAAAATATATTAAAAAAAAAAAAAGAAGTAAATCAAGAGTTGGTAGGACCTGAGTGAGAACATGACCAGGGATGCATTTTACTTGGGCTGGGCTCTTGGACGAGCCCTCAGATTCAGCACACTCCTAGGATGGACTCCTCGGCTCGCCAGGCCTCCTGTGGCTGACAGATGATGCTCTGCTCCAATCTCTGTCTCCCACAGTCGGAGCCCTGCAAAGGATGGATCCCCTGGGCTGCATGGAGCAGCGTGAGGATAAGAAGGCCAAGAGCCCAAATGGAGAGCCTGCGCCGTGGCAAGCCCTTCCGGTTCTGTCCGAGCAGCAGTCCAGGGACGTGGAGCTGGTGCTGGCCTACGCCGCACCCATCCTCGACAAGCGCCAGACTTCACGTCTCCTCAAGGAGGTGTCGGCTGTCCACCCACTGCCTGCACAGCCTCACCTGAAAAGGGTTCGCCCGAGCCGCGATGCTAGCCGTCCACACGTGCCGGAGATGCTGCTGTGCCTGGCAGGGCCAGTGGCGGGCACTCGATCGCTGGCTGAGCTCCTCCCACATCCGGCAGTGGATCCCCGAGGCCTGGGACAGCCCTTCCTGGTGCCTGTGCCTGCCTGGCCACCCCTGACCAAGGGCCAGTTTGAGGAGGCGCGTGCCCATTGGCCCACATCCTTCCATGAGGACAAGCACGTGACCCGTGCCCTGGCTGGGCAACTTTTCTCAGCACAGGAGCAGGCTGAGATGCAGGGCCACATGGAGCGCGCTGTACGGGTGGCACAGCAAGCGGCCGCCAAGGGCCTGAGGGCTGTCGGGGCTGTGGTAGTGGACCCAGCCTCAGGCCGGGTCCTGGCCACGGGCCATGACTGTAGCAGCTCAGCCAGCCCCCTGCTGCATGCCACCATGGTGTGCATTGACTTGGTGGCCCAGGGCCAGGGTCAAGGCACCTATGACCTCAGGCCCCACCCTGCCTGTTCCTTCACCCCAGCCTCGGCCTCCCAGGATGTCCAGGCCATCTCTGTGCACACACTGGAAAAGGATGTGGACACGGATGATAACGGCCTCCCCTATGTGTGTACTGGCTACGACCTCTACATTACCCGCGAGCCCTGTGCCATGTGCGCCATGGCCCTGGTGCACTCCCGCGTGCAGCGAGTCTTCTATGGGGCACCCTCTCCTGATGGTGCCCTGGGCACCCGCTTCCGCATCCACGCGCGACCTGACCTCAACCACCGTTTCCAGGTGTTCCGGGGTGTGCTGGAGGCCCAGTGCCGCCAGCTGGACCCGGACACGTAGGGGCCACGCTTGCTGGCTCCAGACTGTTCTTTGCTCTCCCAGCCTCAGCCTCCTCACAGATCCACGTGGGCCTGGCTCCCTTGTTGTCTAAGGGCTGCGATCCTGTCTGGATTTCAGGGACGTGCCTCCCAGCCCCGGAACCCGTGCCTACTCGTTCTGTTGGTGTGTGGTGCTGCATTTCTGCTGGAACAAGCTTTCCCTGGGCTGGAGCATAACGAGGGCCCAGCCGGGCCTCACCCCTGGCTCTCAGGCTTCCCTCCTTGTGCCGCCTTCACCCCGAGTCCACGGGTCTCCTGGGATTGTATCCCCTTTATCTCAACTCTGAACCATGAAAATAAACTCAGCCCTTAAACCAGGTTGGTGTCTGTTGACAATTGTGGGGCTGCCTCCGTCGAGGGCCTGGGCGTACACAGCTGGAGGGGAGCTTCTGAATCCACTGTGACCAGAGCTCTGCCCGAGCTGAGTTGTGGGTCTGAAAGGGTGTTGCTGGCTTGAGTGTGTCTGGGCTCAGCTGATCGGAAGGCTCGTTCCGGCTGTCCCATTTCTGCTCCATCTCAGGTGGCAGAGTGTCCTCGGAGCAGTCAGCACTAGAACCAAGTTGTTTGTTTGGGGCTTGCGGCAGGCTGTTTGTCCATCCAGCAACCATGCACCGTCTGACCACAAAGGCGCTTCAGGGTTTCCAGGGCATTCCTGTCCCAGGTGATGCTCAGGCTCCTGGGGACGCTCCAGTCTTGTGGGGGCAGGGTGGGCGGGGACTCCATCTGAGAGCCAGTGCAGTGGCCAGACATGGGTGGGGCATGAGCCTGCCTGCCTGCAGGGAGAGCCAGCCAGGGCATGACAGAGGGTCTCAGTGGGAACATTGCTAAGCTGAGGGATGGGCCCCGTGAAACTCAGGATCACTGGAACCTTCTTGCCTGGACGGTAGGTGAGGAATATTCCTAGTGCCTAGCCTCAAGCATGGTTCCTGGCCCCCTTTGGTGCCACGGGTCCCTTGGAGCTTCACTTGGGTTGCAGTGGGGTCCTCAGTTTTGCAAGGCTCATGGGGCAAAAACTACAGAGCAGATTGTGTGAACCCAGTCTTGGCGATTTGGAAGTTGGGCACTGCAGCCATAAAGAGGCACTCAGAGCTCTCTGTGGATAAAAGGTGAGGAGGATGAATGGCAGGAGGGCAGTAGGGGTGGTCACTGGGATCCCAGGAATGTGCTGGCTCCAAGCTGGCCTGTGGGTGGCAGGGGCTGCAGGCTAACCCCCTCCCACCATCACAGATGCTGCCAGAGGTGAAGCAATGACACATTTGGGCACACGTTTGGGGTGGCCTTCCAGGGAGGAGCCCAGACACCCCTGTGGATAGCCTGGAGGTTAGAACTCTAGCCACAGCAGCTGCACAGGCTTACAGCTGGTGTCAGGGTCACTGGCAGCCAAGTGATTGTTGCTGTTTCCCCTCCAGGTGGCTGTGGGCTTCAGCCTCATCAGGTCATCACATTGGAAATGCCAGGTGAGTCTTTCCTGGGCGCCCTGGGGTTTGCGTCTCAGTTCCTCTGGGAAGTGCCCTCTTGCTGTGGGGGTTGGATGTCAGGTAGACCCTTTAGGACCACTGTAGGCGCACACCTCACGCTCCTCCTCCCGTGATGGCTGTTGGAGGTGCATCTAGCACTGAGGGGAATCACAGGGAGGCACAGTTTCTTTTCTTTCTTTTTAAAAATTGATTAGAGAGAGAGAAGAGAAACATTGATTACCTCCCATGCATACCCCAACCGGGGATTGAATCCACAAGTGAGGTGTGTGCTCTGACCGGGAATGGAACTTGAAACCTTTTGGTATATGCGATGATGCTCCAACCAATTGAGCCATCTGGCCAGGCCTTGTGCCTGGGCCTCGTTTTATTGTTGACACCATGGGTGGGCACTGAGTTCATGCCTATACACATAAGATGATGCCCTCATTTCCTCATGAAGTCCGCAGGGAGCCCCAGGGTGGCCTGCCTTGTCCTGCTTGAAAACAGGGGCATAAAACCCAAGTTTGGTGGCCCATGGTGAGCCTGTTGGTGGCAGAACTGGGATTTGAACCCAGGCCCATGGATTCCAAGTCAGCGCAAAATGTTTATTTTATTGATTTTTTTTACAGAGAGGAAGGGAGAGGGAGAGTTAGAAACATCGATGAAAGAGAAACATCAATGAGCTGCCTCCTGCACACCCCCTACTGGGGATGTGCCCTCAACCAAGGACCATGCCCTTGACTGGAATCAAATCTGGGACCCTTGAGTCCTCAGGCCAACGCTCTATCCACTGAGCCAAACCGGTTAGGGCCAGTACAAAATGTTTTACCAAGAAAACAAGGTTTCAAGGAGCCTCAAGATTTAGCCAGTTTTCTGCCTCCTTCCTGTCACAGTGCGTGCTGGTGGGACTGACTGTTGGAAACACCCTGTTCTTGCTGTGGGGGTTGGATGTCAGTCAGGCAGGAAAAGAGGTGCCCTGCCTTGTCCTGGGAGCCAAGGGAGCCGCAGGACTAGGGAATCGATAGCTGGGTGGGGACTGTTGTTGGGGCCTTGGGTGCATGGCCGGGCACTCTAAGTGGGGTTTATGACCAGAGCTGGGGAGATCCCTCTTGGTAGGCTCACTGGGAAGGCGGCAGCTGGAAATCCTGCCTTTCATGGCCTCCTAGGCAAGGTCAGGACACTTCCGGCTTCTGTGTTACTTGGTAAATGCCTGAGTGGCCAACAAGGTGTGGCTACTCCAGCCTTCTCCTTCCTCCAGCCTCTGATCTTACTGCTCCAAGACAGGTAGGACCTCACCTCAGGGCCTTTGCACGGGCAGCATCCTCCCCCAGAATCTGCTGAGCTGCCTTCTTCACTTTCTTGAGTCTTTGTTCAAATGCCACCCCTTAGTAAAGTCACCTGCCCCTGCTTTTATTTATTATTACTTTTAAAATATATTTTGATTTTATACAGAGAGGAAGGGAGAGAGATAGAGAGTTAGAAACATCGATGAGAGAGAGTCATCGATTAGCTGCCTCTTGCATACCCCCTACTGGGGATATGCCTGCAACCAAGGTACATGCCCTTGACCGGAATCGAACCGGGGACCTTTCAGTCCCCAAGCCGACGCTCTATCCATTGAGCCAAACCGGTTTCGGCCTGACCCTGCTTTTAAGTCAAAGCTGACACCCCTAGCACTGTCCCTGCTGGCCCCCACCTGCTCTGGTGGCTCCTCTTTATAGCACTCGGCATGTCTCAGCACTCCACATTGACACCCATCTGTCGCAGTGATTGTTGGTCCCCCCTGTTGGGATGGAGCCCGAAGACAGGACTCGGTGTGTTGTGTTTTGTTACCCCGACAGGCAGGTACTCAGGACCACGCCCAGTGGCCTTGGGGGTGAAGTGAAAGGACATTGAGAGGTACCAGGCAGCACTGACTTTACCATGCTGCCGGTCAAGTCCTGTCTCAGAAAAGACATGTTCGCGTCCTGACCCCTGGCACCTGGGATTGGGACCTATCTCATTTGGAAAGAGGGTCTCTGTAAGTGTAGTAGTTAAAGTGGGTCACACTGGAGTAAGGTGGGCCTAATGCAAGGACAGGCGTCCTTATACGAAAAGGGAAATTTGAACACTAACACAGGAGGAGGCCATGTGACCACGGAGGCAGACACTGGGGTGATGTGGCCGCAATCCAAAGATCTCCAGAGCCCCCAGCAGCTAGTAGGGGTTGGAAGGACCCTTCTCTGGCCACAGGTGTTAACAGCATCTGGGTTCTGCCCCTGAGTCTGTGTGAGTGTCCTGTGACGGTTCTAAGAAGTCACCACAAATGTAGTGACTTAAACAGGATTTATCAGGAGTCGAAACAGACTAAACTCATGTGGCTAAACCCAGGTGTGGGCAGGGCTAGTCCTTCCCAAGGTTTTAGGGAGAACCGTTTCCAGCCTTTTCCAGTGTCTTAGAGGCACCATATCCCTGGCTCATGGCCCCTTCTTCCATCTTCACAGCCAGCAGCTCAGCCTCTTCCATCTCTGACTCTGACTCTCTTGCCTCCCTCTTAAGAGGACCCTGTAAGGACACTGGGCCTCCTGGGGACCCAGGTTCGTGCCCATCCCATGGGCTTTGATTTAATCCATCTGCAAAGTCCCTCTGCCGTGTGAGGCAACGTGCCTACAGGTCCCAAGAACAGGACAGGGACATCTTTGGGGCCTTGACTGTGCTGCCCCCACATGGCATAGTCTCACGGTGTTCTGTGTCCCCACAGAAAAGGAGAACAACTTCCCGCCGCTGCCCAAGTTCATCCCTCTGAAGCCTTGTTTCTACCAGAACTTCTCTGATGAGATCCCCATTGAGCATCAGGTCCTAGTGAAGAGGATCTACCGGCTGTGGCTGTGTGAGCAGTGGGGTTGGCTGGGAGTTGGGGTTTGGGAGTTGGGGGGCTTCCCAAACCACCGCAGAGACCCAGGCCAGGCCAGGTCATGAAGCTGCTCCATCCTTGGGCTGGGAGAACTTGAGGTTTTTTGTAGTAACTCTCCTTTCTGATAAAATTCTGTCCCAGAGGTGGCATGGTGTGATGGACGGAACAGGTGGGCCATTGGGCAGGAACCTTTGTCTCTCTGAGCCTCTCTGGCCTTTGGTCCCTGTGTGGTGGGGTGGAGGTGCTTGTGCCCTAACTCCCAAACCCCGGCTGAAGCCTCTTTGCCTCCCCTGTCCAGTCTACTGCGCCACACTGGCGGTCAATCTCATCGCATGCCTGGCCTGGTGGATCGGAGGCGGCTCAGGAGCCAACTTTGGCCTGGCCCTGGTCTGGCTGCTGCTCTTCTCCCCCTGTAGCTATGTGTGCTGGTTCCGGCCTGCTTACAAGGCCTTCCGGTAAGTGTGGGCCTGGCCATGCCCTCATGGGGCCTTGGAGTGTCTGTGTAGCAGTGGGTTCAAAACTGAGTAGCCAGGATGCCCCCAACTGTGTGTGCACATCTCTATGCTGATTCCTGCTCTGCACCTGTCACCCTAGCCCCGATGCTAGTACCCTCCCTTTCCCTTGTCCAATTCGGATGACAGCTTGTATCGGGGTCTGTGCACTACAACCCACAGATACCTATTGTCTTGTCTTTTAATAACTTTATTGAGTTACACTTCACATTCCATACAACTCATTTACCTAGCATTTGAGTGTTTCTAGAGTCTTCACAATGTTGTACACTCATCACATCCAATTCCAGAACGTTTTCACTACTTCAGAAGAAGCCCCACCCCCCCTTAGTGGTCACCCCTATCCTCTCCCAGCCCCTTTGGACATAACCTGCTTCTATGAACATTGGCCCCTAGCCAGTCCCCTGCTACTCAGGTGTATTACTCCTAGATGGTCCCTAAGTCCCATCCTTAGGAGGTAAGAATTCTTATACTCCTTTCCAGTAAGGAACGATCATGCAGCATCTTCTGAGAGGGGCAGTGTGGTAGGTCCCTATGGTCAGGGACTTGTGTGAGCATGTGTGCAGTAATTCATGCCTGTCCTACCTGAAGAAGGGAGAATATTTCTGTGTTGCTGTCTCTGCCTCACATTCTCCTCTGGGTGGTTGTTACTAAAAGGCCGGGGCAGCCATAATGGTCATTCCTCTCACTCCAGGGCCGACAGTTCCTTCAATTTCATGGCATTTTTCTTTATCTTCGGAGCCCAGTTCGTCCTGACCGTCATCCAGGCTATCGGTTTCTCAGGATGGGGTGCTTGGTAAGTCAGTGAACGTGGCTTCTATGATGGGTGTTAACTGTAGACATGTGCGTGAATACATGTGTCAGTCAGTGCAGGCTGAGACTGTAACATAGTCCCCAACTTCTGACAGCTGATGGAGAACAGACATTTACTTCCTGCTTTTGTAAATGCTCCAAAGAGGTGCCAGGTTGAGGGGCAGGGTGTCTGCTCCACATTGGTACCCAGTGCCTATGAGTGCTTGATTACCAGCCACGCTGGCCACAAGGAAGAGACCGGTGGGCATGAGCCAGCAGTGTGTCCTAGGAGGTAGGCATGGGTCAGCAGTGTATCCCACCATCTAGAGAGAGATCTGATCTTCTGTTTGCTTGATTTTAGGGTATTAAATGATATTTCCATGGCCCCTGTACCATGTAACAAATTACTTCCAACTCAGTGACTTAAAATGAAACACACTTCTCATTTCTAGTTTGGGGGAGTCCAACGTGGATCTCATGTTCTAAACCCAGGTGTGGGTGGGACTGGTCCTTTCGGAGGCTCCAGGAGAGAATCACTTCCTGCCTTTTCTAGCTTCTCGGGTGCTACATCTCTGGCTCATGGCCCTTCCTCATCTTCACAGCCAGTATAGCATAGCCTCTCCCACCGTTCTGACTGTCCTTTCTGCCTCCCTCCTGTGAGGACCCTGTGATGACACTGAGTAATCCAGGGTCATCCCCAGTTCATGGCCTTAACTTTATCCTACCTGCAAAGTCCCTTTACCACATGAGAAGACAGACATGTCGAGAGTTACTGGGATCAGGACATCAGGGCTGTTACCAATCATAGGTGGTGTCTGTGGTGTCCAGTGTTGGGTAAGAGGCATTTGGGATGGCTCTCTCCAAACGAGAACTACCTGGCAGTGCCCTGGAATGGTTGGCCTTTGGTTGATTGTTTTCCGAATGACAGGAACTCATTCTATCTGCAGTTACAGCTCCCGAACATTTTCTTTCTTTCTTTCTTTTTTTTTTTTTTAAATATATTTTATTAATTTTTTACAGAGAGGAGGAGAGAGGGATAGAGAGCTAGAAATGTCGATGAGAGAGAACCATCGACCAGCTGCCTCTTGCACTCTCCCTACCGAGGATGTGCCTGCAACCAATGTATAATACATGCCCTTGATCGGAATTGAACTTGGGACCTTTCAGTCCGCAGACCGACGCTCTGCCACTGAGCCAAACCGGTTTCGGCTATTTATTTATTTTAAAACATATTTTATTGATTTTTTTACAGAGAGGAAGGGAGAGGGATAGAGAGTTAGAAACATCAATGAGAGAGAAACATCAATCTGCTGCCTCCTGCACCCCTCCACCGGGGATGTGCCCACAACCAAGGCACATGTCTCTGACTGGAACCCGGGACCCTTCCATCCACAGGTTGACACTCTATCCACTGAGCCAACCCGGTCAGGGCTGAAAGCCCTTTTTAGAAAATCCTCACCTGAGGATATCCTTAGAGGAAAAGAGAAAGAGGGAGAGAGAAACATTAATGTGAGAGAAAAACATTTATCATTTGCCTTCGTATACTCCTTGACTGGGGATCAAAACTGCAACCAGGTACGTGCCCTGACTGGGAATCGAGCCAGGAACCCTTCGGTGCACGGGGATGACGCCAAACCAACCGAGTCACTCCAGCGGGGCTCTTGTGGCACTTATTTAATTGTTGCTTTAGCAGCGTGTTCACATCTGACACAGGTGAGCTGTGCCTGCTTCTATGAGTTGGTGTCTTTTTCTGCCTTTCCCTGATCTGTGTGGGCTTGACTGTCTTGTGCCATGCCCCACATTTGGGATTTTTAGAGTAACAGCTTTATTGGGACACATTTCACACACACAGACCAAAAATTCACCCTTTATGTCAGGGATGGGGAACGTCTGGCCCACAGGCTGTATAAGGCCTGTGAAATCATTTGGTCTGGCCTTGCCAAGGTGTTAGGAGTGATTAATTAAATGTTTGACCAAATATAGCAGGCTAATCTTTAAGTTAATAATTTTATATGGCCTATCAGTGATGTTATACTATCCAAATGGTCGTTGGCAGGAAAAAGGTTTCCCAACCCTCTTTTGGTGTACAAATCAGTGTTTTTATTATTTATTTATTTATTTATTTATTGAAGTGATTAAAAAAAATATATATATATTTTATTGATTTTTTACAGAGAGGAAGAGAGAGAGAGGGAGAGCTAGAAACATCGATGGGAGAGAACCATTGATCAGTGCCTCCTGCACACCCCCCAACGGGGATGTGCCCGCAACCAAGGTACTGTATTTTCCGGCGTATAAGACGACACTGTGTTCTAGTAAAAAGCCTGCTCAGATTGGCCAGAGTCAGAGAGGCGATCTATTAAAAAAAGAACTAGTGTTGCCTTGGGAGTGGGGGGTAGTCTTATACAGCGAATATAGGCCTAAACCTATGTTTTAACTGTAAAATTAGGGGGTCGTCTTATCTGGCGGAAAATACGGTATATGCCCTTGACTGGAATTGAACCTGGGACCCTTCAGTCCGCAGGCCGATGCTCTATCCACTGAGCCAAACCGGTTTTGGCCAAATCAGTGTTTTTAATACATTCACAAGATTGTATGCAATCATCTAATTCCAGAACATTCCATCACCCCTCAAAGGAAACCCTGTTCTCATCAACAGTCATCCCCTTCTTCTCTCCAAGCCCCTAACCACTATTAATGTATTTTTTGTCCCTGTGGATTTGCCTGTCCCGAACATGTCACATGAATGGAATCACATACTGTGTGGCTCTGTGTGTCTGGCTTCTCTCTCTGAGCATGTGCTCAGGGTTCATCCACATTGTAGTGAGTGCCATTGCTTCCCTCCTTTTCATGGCTGAGTGATATTCTATTGTGTGGGTGAACCACACTTTGTGCATCCATTCATCAGCTGATGGACACTTAGGTGGTTGTCTACTTTTTTTGCTATTGTTAGTAGTGCTGCTGTGAAATTCCTGTGTGTTTTTGTGTGGACGTGTGTTTTTCTTTTGAGTGTATACCCAGGAATGGCATTGCTAGGTGACAAGGTAACTGTTTAATTTTAACCTTCTGAGGAACTGCCAGATTATCCCACAGATTTTACAGGCCGTGTCTCCTGCTGTCTTTTCTCCTGTTCTGTCCCTCTCTCCCTAGTTTGGCCCCTTTGCCCCTGGCTGAGTGGCTCTGGGGGAGCACCTGGCACCCCCTGTCTCCCTTGTTCTCTGCACTGTCCCTGCCCTCTGTGCCAGGCCTCTCTCTATCTTCCTGTTCCCTGCGCTGCTTGTCTTGGCCTCTCTGGATATGGTTGGGGCATAGTAGACTTACTCTGTTATCTGTTTGTGGCTGATTGAGGCCAGTTTATCACCCGCTGTTGCTTGAGATGTCATTCTGGGTCATAGATAAGCTTGTTTTGGGGAAGCTGGCAATTGCCAGCTCCTTGGTGAGTCTGGGAGGCGGTGTCTCAGAGCAGGCTCCACATTCTACAGTCCCAACTGTAGGTATAATATGTTCTCCCTCCTCAGAGACCATGATCCTCAGGCTCCCCCCCCCCCCCCCCCCCACTCAGCCTCTTGTTCTAGGGCCCCAGATCTGGTGGGAGATCTACATCAGAGGCAGTGCCTCCTCCCCTCCAAGAGCCTGAAGATGATCCCCTTCCCTATAGGACAGGGTTCAGCTGCCACCTTAGCTGCCTTTCCATTTCTACCAGTGCCCACCTGAGCCCTCCGTTGCCCAGTTTTGCTCACACCCCTCTACGTGCAAAGCAGTGCATGTAGAACGTTCCTCCTTCATTCACAGAGCGGGAGCGGGCACTGTGTTTACATGTGCCTGTAGTATACACATGCATGTTTTCGTAAAGATTCTGTGGAAGGATACATAGCAAATAGATAACTTTGGTTCCCTCTGAGATTGGGGGGTGGGTTGGCAGGAGAGAGACTGTTTATTGTATATTCTTTTAAATTTCCTAATCTTTGAACTCTGGTTTTACTACTTGTTAAGAAGAAATATTCTCAAAAATACTGTGTTTCTTGACTTCCCTTCCAGAGGGAGCATGTATGAACAGATGGACATTCTTTTTCACGTGGGCCAATGGTGTTCTTATTTCATAGGCTCTTGCTGTGCCAACTGAGCTTCAACTTCCTTCTCCCCCTCCTATTTTTTACCATCTCCTTATTAATCTGTCGTGTGGCTGTAGCATAATTTACGTTCTTGTTCCCAGCCAGTGGACAGGCAGGGTACTCCCAGTTTTTCATATTTCAAACAATTGTTGTAGTGTAAATTCTTAGAATTAAAACTTTTGGGGTAACAATCTTTTTATAGATAACGTCCCATTGCCCTCCAGGATTGGTGTACACTACCACTAACAGAGTGGTATTCGTGTCTCCATTTCCTCATACACATGACATTTGGCCATACGATGGTAGGAGAATGACACTTGTTCGAACTTTCGTGTCTTTAGAGGTGGGTTTGAGCATCATTTTGTGAGTTTGTTTACCCCTCGATAGTCCTTGCGAGAATTTCCCACTGCTCTGCGGGTCGTTTCCTTCTCCTTTTTCAGAGCTCTGTACATAGGAAGGGTAGTGGTCCCTTGCCCGGCAGATATGCTGGCGCCCACACTCTCTCTTTCCCTTGCAGTGGTTGGCTGGCAGCGATCGGGTTCTTCCAGACCAGTGTTGGAGCTGCCGTGGTCATGCTGTTTCCGGCCATCATGTTCACAATGTCAGCCGCCGTGATGGCCATTGTGATCATGAAGGTAAGGCCTCTGGGTCCCAAGACATTCAGCTTCTTCCCATGCATCCTGTCACCTGACTATCCTGGCCCGGGGGGCTCGTCTTATCCCTGTTTCAGGAGCAAGAGACAGTACAGTGTCCGGGAAGTGACATGATTTCCTTCAGCAGCGAAGTCTCTCTGAGTCAGGACCCTCAACTGCTCAGGCGAGGACCCCACCTGTCTGCCCCAGTGGCCTTCCAAGGACAAAGGACTTGGGGAAATGGCACAGTATCAGCTGCTACTGACTACACACACCTACCTTTGGGTGTGTCCCCAGCACACACAGGTCCACACTGCTCGATCTGCCCACACTGGCTATGCATTGGCACTTGTAGTTAAATTCAAGTTAAGTAAAATGAAATAAAACAGCTTACCCCACATGCTCAGCCAGGGCAGGTCAGATCAGCCTTTCTGGTGGTGGGGAGTCAGTGGTCTGTCCCAGGGGTCTCTGCTGTGGAGATCATTACTGTCACCCAGGGATGGCTATGTGCGCTGTCTTGGGCCTGACACTCCGTGTCAAGAGGCCATCAAATGATTGTCATACAAGTTTCTTGTGGATTTCTCCATTCCAAGCACTGCCCAAGAGTACCCAGAGCCGCCCTCCAGGCACTGGGTGTCCGGTAGGGGTAGTCACAGGAAGAGATAAGCCCCAAATCCATGACAGGATGAGCCTCTCTCCATGACAGACGTGCTGTGGGCCTCACGTGGCAACAGAGGTCAGCACCAAGGGGCACCAGGGGCTGTGGCTCACAGCTGGGTCTCCTGAGTTCACAATCTTGGATTCTACATGTTTTCTAAAGTTTCCACAAAGACCTTTCTGTGGCTTTTGTACTTCCTTTAAGAAAAACACAGCCTTAAATGTGAGCGGCCTCCACATCACTGATCTTTGTCCTCTGCTACCACCCTCTGCTCTGCAGGTACACAGAATCTACCGGGGGAGCGGTGGAAGCTTCCAGAAGGCACAGACAGAGTGGAACAATGGCACTTGGCGGGACCCACTGTCCCGGGAGGCCCAGTTCAACAACTTCTCAGGGAATAGCCTGCCTGAATACCCTACTGTACCCACCTATCCAGCCAGTGGTAGCCAATGGCCTTAGAGGGAGCTGACTAGTCTTGTTGCTTGCCTGCCACCACCGGCCCTCTTCCTTCTCCCTATCCACTCCTGTAGCCACGTTGGGTCCGATGAAGCCCTAACCATCTGTTCCCTGTCCCTCCCCGGTGGCAGGTAGGCTCTTCCCCCAGCCAGGATGGCAGCAGGGGTTGGTGGCCACCGGGACCTTTTCCAGGTGGGATGGCAGACCCCAGCAGCTCTCAGGGACCCGTGCCCATAGCTCATCTCACATCCAAGAGCAGAGGTCCTTGCAAGCACTGCCCAGAAGCCAGCTGGCCCTACCAGCCAGCAGAAGGATGCCTCTCCTGAAAACTTTTGGTCACATAATGTCCACTCCCTTTGGGGTCTCAGAGGACTGATTTTGGGCCTCCCTAGGAAGTCGGAAGGAGGCTGGCTACCCTCCGTGCCAGTGCTGGGGATGCTAAGAAGGGCTCCTCAAATTCACCCCACTCCTGTCAAGGCCATCACCCTCGTGCAGTGCTCAGGAAGAGGGAGGTTCTTCCCTGCTGGTGATGTAGACGCTTGATATACAGCTGGGTGTTCAGCATTTTGTCCTGAGTTTATCCATCTGTAGCAGGGGGCTCACGGGGATGATCAGAGGCCAGTTCACTGCCTCAGTGCCATGATCTCAGCTTTTCCCTGTCCACCTGTCCCAGCTCCTCTGCACTGGTCCTCAGCCGCCGTTCAGGACCATTGACCAGCTTGCTTCCAGCCTTTCTATCCACAGTCGCTCTCTCCCAGAGATGCTCTCTTCTGCCACGTGTTAGAACTCCCACGCCTGGGCTGGTTGTGCCGATGCAGGGAGCCTCAACAGGATGTTCATTGAGATCCAAAACCTGGGACTGAACCCATTGGTGGGGACATGGGCTCCTCTCCCCACTGTGCAAACAGGAAAACAGGTGCATCTCATCAGAGTGTGTATGGCCCCGAGGATACCATTGTCTAGAGGTGTGCCAGCCACTCAGGCTGTGGTCCACACTGCCCTTTTCTGGATGTGTGAAAGCAGATCACATTTCTCAGGAGAACAGCCTTTTTAGGAGGAAACAAGATGTGACAAATCTCTGTGCCTTACTGAGGAATCTACAAATTCTTTTCTCAATCCTTCTAGTTCCTTCTGAGATGGAGGAACCGGATGTTGTGTGGGTATTGCCACAGCACCTTTGTGAATGGACGGGCTGAGAGAGGTGGCCTGATGGCCTCTCAGCCCCCGTTACCCAGGCTTCCAGTAATGCTGCCCCTTGGCTCCTGACTGCCTGCCCCTTGTCACAGCACACTCTGCTGGGATGCCATCCTCTCCTGAGGCTCCAGCATGGCCGAATGTGTCCGTGTTTGCTTGCTTTGCTTTCTTGTGCCGAATGCCACATGGTGTCTAAAGGTGGCCACGGTCCCTGAGGAAGCACCCGGGCCTGGGTCCCTGAAGGACAAGTCTTCCTGGAGGGAAAACAGAAACCTCCAGTTTCCCAGGTTCGCAGGGACATCCCAAGCCAGCTTCCTATGACTGACCGACGGCTTGCACTGAACAAATTGTGGACCGAATCTCATTGTGACTGGGTGCCATTAGGAATGGAGCCAGGTAACTAGGTGTAGAATGAACCCCACTCCCCACCCCACTGTACATGGCACCTTGGTTACCTTGTAATAGGTGTTTTTGTTTTTTGTGATTATGTTTATTTTGTAGTTTTTGTTATTGGAAAATATTCTGGAAATAAATACATCCTTTCTGCAGCAGACCAAGCCTCCCAGGGGCTGTTTGGGGTGTGTGTATGTGTGTCAAGTGCCCCAGTGTGTCCCTCAGACAGTACACCACCAGGATGGCCTGTGCACCTGGACCCAGTTTCCACCGATAGGCAGTCCCGGCCCTATAAGCACCGAACCTCCATGTGCACCAGGGACGGAGCCCGTTCGGCCCAGCACTGTGTACCCAGGCATCTCCCTCACAGAGTGTCCACACCTCACTGCAGTGTGGCTTCCTTCAGGTCTTTCTTTTAAATCAACTTTTCTCCACATTCAATAGTTTTCATCCGAAAAAGGAAATTCACAGAAAATAAAAGTTTGCTTTTCATAAAGGAAAAATAATGGTAGGTGTAGCTGGACTACAAGCGATTCCTGTTTTACAAAGGCCTTGCCTCAGGGCCTGCCAGTAGCAGAGTGAACACCCCCATGCAGACACAGGAGAGAGTGGTAATCTTTTATTTTTTAAATTTATTTTTTACAGAGAGGAAGGGAGAAAGAAACATTGATGAGAAACATAGGTCAACTGCCTCCTACACACCTACTGGGGATGTGCCCACAACCAAGGTACATGTCCTTGACTGGAATTGAACCTGGGACCTTTAAGTCCACAGGCTGACGCTCTATCCACTGAGCCAAACTGGTTAGGGCAGAGTGTGGTAATTTTATTCCACAGGACACTACCACTATGGGAAGAAAACTAGACTTGGAGAGGAATTGGACACTGTCCCCCCCCAAATTCACACATGGAAGTCCTCACCCTCTGTGACCTCAGAATGGAACCTTATTAGGACAAGAGTCTTCTGCAGGTGTCCTTAGGGTGAGGTCATTCTGGGGCAGGGTAGCTCTAATCCAAGTCAACTGGTGCTATATGAAGGAGACATTGGACACAGACACAGGGAGGTGCTTGTGGAGATGGGGGCAGAGATTGGGGCAATGTGTCTATGTGCCAAGGATGCCAGTGCCACCAGAAGCTGGGAGAGATGGGAGTAACAGGAGATGTCAGGAAGTGAAGAGACAGATTAGGGAGCACTGTGCCTTAGGGACATGTCCAGTGGTGTATGGAACATGGATTGGGTGGACATGCCTTGGGAATAGAGAGTGGGTGTCCCCCAGCTGGGTAGGAGATGGGCTTGGTGATGGTGCAAAGCAGGAACGGAACTGGAAAAGTGAGAAATGGGGGTGTGTGTGAAGAGGTGGAGGGCACCATCCTGGAGACATGGAAGGACATAGGACGAGATGGAGTTGAGAGGACCAAGAACAGTTGAGAAGGGACCCTTGGCAAGGGTGGCAGTGACAGGACCACAGATAGGTGGCTTAAACTGCAGAGATTTATTCTCTCACATTCTGTGGCCCGAAATTTAAAACCAAACTGTCCCAGGGCTAAGCTTCCTCTTGAGGCTCCAGGGATAGGTCCTATCTGCCTTTTCCAGCTTCTGGGGGCTCCAGCATTCCTAGTATGGGGGCTGCATCACCACAGTCTCTGCCACCACCTTCACCCAAACATCTCTATTTGTGTTTCTTTCTCTTTCAAGGACACCATCGTTGGATTTGGGATCTCCCTAATTCAGGATGATCTCATCTCAATATTCTTAATTACATCTGCAAAGATTCTATGTCCAAATAAGGTCCCATTCACAGGTTCCAGGGTGACACGCCTCTGAGGCTACCACTGGGTATCTGCAGGGGAACCAGTGGTTTTATTTAAAAAAAACCAAAACATTTTATTGATTTTTTACAGAGAGGGATAGTTAGAAACATCGATGAGAGAGAATCATCAATCAGCTGCCTCTTGCACACCCCCTACTGGGGGATATGCCCGCAACCAAGGTACATGCCCTTAACCAGAATCAAACCTGGGACCTTTCAGTCCGCAGGCTGACGCTCTATCCACTGAGCCAAACCGGTTTTGGCGGAACCACTGGTTTTGAAGCAAGAGGGAAGTTGAAGGCATCCCAGGGCTGGAGAATCTGCTGACTGCCAGGCCCTGATGAGGCTGCACTTAGGGGATTGGTATTGGGGGACAGTGTCCCTGGGACAGGACAAGAGCAGTATTCATGGTACAGTGGGCACAATGCCCAAGGGTGCCTCAGGTGTGGGCAGGAGGAGGGGACTTGAGGATGCCTTGGGGAGGGATAGGCTGAGAGAACCTTAGCAGGATCCAGAGGGGGCCGCTAACCCTGGCCAGGTGTGGGGATAGGTCACCTTTAGCGGCAGGAGGCTGGTGGAACAGGAGGTCCTGCTACTGGTAGTTTCTAGTTACCAACTTGTGAGACTTTTTGTTAATCCTCCCCTGAAGATATTTTTTCCATTGATTTTTTGGGAGAGTGGAAGGGAGGGAAAGGGAGAGTGCGAGGGAAAGAGAAACATCAGTGGGAGAGACCATTGGTTAGTTGCCTCCCACACATGCCCCAACCAGGGCTGGGGATCAAACCTGCAACTCCAGTATGTGCTCTTGACCGAGAATTGAACCTGCAATCCTTCAGTGTGAGGGCTGACGCTCCAACCACTGAGCAACACTGGCCAGGGTGGGAGCTGGTTCTTTTCATCACCTGCTCTACTTTCCAAACCTCAAATGGGACTATTTGATGCTTAGTCTCCTAGGGGTGCTATAACAAATAACCACAAATGGGGTGGCTTAAAACAGGTGTTGGCAGGGTTGGGTCCTTCTGAGGCCATGAGGGAGTGTGCTTCAGACCTCCCAGCTCCTGGTGGCTCCAGCAATCCTTGCCATTTTTTAAAAAAATATATATTTTATTGATTTTGTACAGAGAGGAAGAGAGAGAGAGAGTTAGAAACGTCAATGACAGAGAGACATTGACCAGCTGCCTCCTGCACACCCCCTACTGGGGATATGCCCACAACCAAGGTACATGCCCTTGACCGGAATTGAACCGGGGATCTTTCAGTCCCCAAGCCGACGCTCTAGCCATTGAGCCAAACCGGTTTCGGCTCCTTGCCATTCTTGACTTGTAGATGCATCACTCCAATTTTTGTGTCACCACATGGCTGTCTCCCTGATCATCTGTGTCCAGATTTCCTTCTTCATATAAAGTCAACAGTCATAATAGGGCCACTCCTCCTCCACTGTGACCCCATTTTAACTTAATTACATATGTAAAGTCCCTATTTGTAAATGGCCCATTCATAAGTACCAAGGGGATCAGGATTTCACCATGTCTTTTTGGGGCAGGCAATGCAACCCTTAACAGTGGCCAAATCCAGGTCCATACCTGTGTAAGCCACCACCAGAAC